AAGAGAAAGAGATAGGTACTGGTGGGTAGGCAAGGACTCCAATTTACATACCTTAGTGTAGAAGTAGAAAATACATCATTTTCAGCATCTTTTACGTCTGGTTGCTTCTTGTTATATATCCTCAATTTCTCCTTTCCCCTCAACTATATCAACTCCCTCGAGCCCTCATTTCAGGTACTGCTTAGGATTTCCCGATTGTCGAGCAAGGAAAGTGATCAAGGGAGTTGATTTCAAGGTCTAAAACTCCAGCTCTAGCAACAAACATGGGGAAGAAACTAAGTCAAGCTTCAACAAAAATATCTAAGAATGACAAGAAACAACTGAATAGCTTGATCAAGGTTTTGCGGCCCAAAGTTTACATCACGGATTCATCAAACTTCAAGAGGCTTGTCCAAGAGCTGACTGGCAATGGAAATCCAATTCCATCTGTTCCTCCTTCAATCCCGGAACCTGTTATGCAAGTTCCTATCATAGAGGTTGATGATCATAGTTATCAAGAGCGCAGCCTGGATTCATCTGTTGATTCATCAGAAGCCAGCATGCCAACGTCTTTTACTACTGCAATGGAAAGTCCCGAGCTTTGTGTATCAAACACCTTCAATGTGTTTGAAAGTTCATTGGCAAGCCATAAGATGGATTTTTCGGTGTACGGAGATATAGAATCATGGCTTTTGGAGACTGAAAATTCATATTCATACAATTGTGATGTTAGCATTCCCACAATTCAGCAAGAGGGTGGCGCATATGGCTATGATTTCTCCGACCTGATCATCTGATCATACACTTTCATCAGTCTTAATTTTCTGGGACTTTCTGATCACGTCTTCTAGTATTTTCTTGTTGACGTTTGATTTCACCTTTAGGAATAGTGTATATTGTGTTTTCCTGATTTCTAAGCCATCAGTTTGTATTTTGTAGGATTATCCATGTAAATATCTGTAGAAGAGAGGCATAATATATCAAACAAAGGTTGTATATTTGTAGACATTTCTCCTCTATACAAGTTCATATTTACTTCAGATACCTTCAATCCACTGTTCCTGTTAACAGACGAAGATTCCAAACATTGTCCCCTAGTCTCTTCACATTTCCCTTCAAACAGATGAGGTGTGTCTTTAAACAACAGACGTGTTCTTGTTCCAAAAATTATAAACCAACGATTCTTTTCTGCTGGTATTTTATATTCTCTGTTCACATTTACTTTTCTTCTAATCTGATTTTTCTCACTTGCTGACATTGCTCCAGTTTCTTCATCTCATCAGTCTGAATTTTATACGAGGACTAAAGTTCTTTCTTTCAATTTTTTTTTGTGGTGGTTATCAAACTCTTGTGTCCTATTAACCTACATATAGATTGACTAGGTGAAATATCTCGAAGTAAGATTACCATCCAAGCAGAGGCAAAATCTTAAGGGTGTCCAAAGCCCATGAAAGTCGAGAAATAATTGTCCAAAATTGACAAAATGAGCATTTCTTGATGTGAATTATTTACATGGCAAATGTAGATTGCCTTCTGGCAAATACCGACTCAGTACTATAGTAGGACTCCCATACACAAATATCAGCTTGGGCGTAATCGATTCAGACAAGTGATCAATAATTCTATTGATATAAGATCACACCTTATCATTCGCTCTTTTGAATCCTGTGAAACTCTCCTCCTGCTTTGTTGAGCAACTCATGCTGGACGATTTTCAATAAATTTATTAATACAATCTTCTCTGTTATATAAAAAAAAAAAAAAAAGAATTAATCTTTCCTACACTGACAGTGTATACACTGTCAGCAGCGTTTGATGAATGACAACTATGTAAAATTTGAATTTGAAATTCAACTTTTGTACGTATATCATGAATTCAACGATGATAGTGTATGCACAGTAAGTGTAAGAAAGATTTACTCAAAAAAAAAAAAGAAAAAGAAAAAAAAAAAGATTACAATTTACACCTTATCATTCTTCAAGTATTAATGATCCATCGTTGATTCTGGTCCAAGCGACACATTCTTCACATTTCAAAATCTTCCTACAGATTTCGATCAATGATGACTTGAACAAAGATTTCAAACTTCTCATACCATAGGATAGTGTGTAATAATGGCATACTTCTTGGTGGCTACCAAAGCCTAAACAAATAAACACAAAAATAAGTACGAACCATGATATGAATAGTGGGCCTTAAATAATAAATATTAGTAGTGTTTATTTCCTCTTAACTATGTACAATTGGAAGTAGCAATTCGTTTGCTTACACATGCATGCAGTGTGGATTAAGCGTGTGTGACTGCGTGTTTCCCAGTGATTAGTTGATTCTTTGTTTTGTTTTTAGCCTTGGCGCAGGCTGTAAATTGGCTCATCCCAGGTACCTTTGGATCATCTCCACCAAAAGGATTAAATCCAAGAAAGCCATGTCTTACTCAATTTGTCTTTCATCTCTAACTGATGAGACAAAGCCTGGTTGCTTTGTTTCCTTTCGTTTTTTTTTTTCTTTTTGGGTGTTAATTTTGATGGCTGCTGAAAAACTACAGAAATGAAGCTATAAAAAAAAAATCCCTCCCTTTGTCCCGGGCAGACATGCTCTAACTCTGCAAGAAAGGCATCCTTTAGTTCTGTTTATCTTCACCTTGATATTTTAATAGAATTATCCACGTTTAAGTGTGGAAAAAATTGGAAATGAAGGTACAAAAAGTAATTCTTCATATTGTCTCTGGTGAAGTTGTAGATGAGGGGATCATTATAATTAGGAAGAAAATTTTCATCAAAAAAAAAAAAATGAGGCCATTAGATCTCTTTCTTTAAAGATTTTAACATTTCTCATATGCTGAGATGGTTCATTTTTCTTTTGGGATAGGAGCATAATAATCCATATATATTTTCTGTAATTACAAGGATTCACGTATAGTAACACTTGTAATCCACGAAGAATGGGATTAATACTGGAGCAAATCATCGGGTAGCCGCTAAACCTTTTCAATAGTCAAAATTTGACCACTTGAGTATTAATAGTATGTTTTTGCCCACTGAACTATTATAAATGTGAATCTTGGGCAATTCTGTTTGATTCCAGCATTAATTCTGCTAGATCTGAGGGTTCGCATGATTCAGGAGACGTACTATTAATAGTTAAATCTGACAGAATTAATGATGGAATCAAATGAAATGGTCCAAAATTTACACTTTTTAATAGTTCAGTGGATAAAAAGATATTATTAATAGTTAAATGATTAAAATTCGACTATTCAAAAAGTTTATTGGCTATGTAGGTAATTTAATCATTAATACTACTATGGTACGTTAGACAATCACTTACCGTTGTGAGATTTAACGCAAGATATTTTAATAATATTTTTTAACGTAGTTATAAGCCATGGTTATGAGAGCTGAAAAGTATTAATTGTTTATTAACTTTCACATTCTACATTAAATGATTGCAGCCCTCCAAAACTAATTGTCCTTATATGTGTGTCCGGTTTAGAAGGAACTCCCACTTTCTTGTTATCGCGATGTCTATCTCTATCTTAATCCGATGCCTATGTTCATTTGTTGTTTCTCTTGTCAAGATAAACAATACATAACTCATTTTCATCTTAATATAATCACGAGCAGTACCAAAATGATTTAATCCTCTAGTTTTGCTCATAATAGCATTTAATTATAAGAGTGAATTTTTTTATGTACTATCAATGTATACGTTAACTATACTGATGGATCTAAATATAACAAAAAGTAATTTTTCAATACAACAATTTGTGTGTATTTTTTTAAAGTATTTTACCAATAACGATGTGGTATGGTAGAGAAAAAAATAATTTACAACTTGTATGTGGTAACATGTACTTGTATTATTATTATTCTCCTCAAAAAGAATTTAAAATAGGTAGTGATATTGTTTGGTCCTTTATTTATATTTAAATAGCTTGAGTGGCACTGGACATTATAGGACTCCATGGCCCAATGGATAAGGCGCTGGTCTACGGAACCAGAGATTCTGGGTTCGATCCCCAGTGGAGTCGTTTTGCCGCAAGTCATTTTCTCTCCCCGGTTCTCTATTTTTTCTTCTCCGTCTCCAGCCAATATTTTTGAACTTTGAACAATTAATTTCTTCCGAAAGGACCCAAACAATAAAGACTTTGAACATAAATAATTACAATTTTGCGTTCAACACTCCTTGAAGTTGGATTAAGGTGAGTTTCAATTTCTTCCAAAATATATAAAAACATGGAGCCATGAATAGTTACTAATTTCTGTTCAACACCTTTTGATGCTGGATTAAGACAAGTTTGACCACCAAGCATTTGATGCTAAAATTTGCTTTCTTGCCAGGGCTTTCAGTTCTTTCACAATCCCACTTCACTTTCTTTTTTCCCCAGCAGAGACCAAGATACTGGTCTCTTGTCTTACATTCTTTTATATTCTATTCTCTGCAGCAATGTCTTGACTCTCAAGGGTTGACTGTCCAGTGTTCCAATGCCAATAATATAGCCAATTCTTAACATCTTCTAACTCAAAAACAGAAGATGAGATGACATGTTGTTATACATAAGAAAACAATACATAAGAAAACATAGCATGGAACACATTCTTGTATACGATACTGAAATTTTCAGAGGATGAATAGTAATAGTGGACCAAGTACCTGGTACTTCTAGTTTCAAGAACATAACATTGCCAAGCAAAAAGTCATCATAACAATTCTTCCATTAATTCTTTTTTCATTCATTGATAAATTGCTAGTTCTTGAATTAAGCACCAAATGCAGGATGCAAAGTTATAGTTTCACTCATTGGAAACAAAGAATATTTAGAGTTTGTGCTCGACAGCCACAATAATAGCTTGTAAGTAGAGATGATGAAGTAGGTAAAAATTACGTGTATTGCTACTGTGTACTAGGCAAATATGGCAACAGACATCATTGTGCAACTTGCGTGGTGTTTTCTGTGTACGGGTCTCATGTTCCAACACATCTCTACCACTGCATTTACAACAGATCATTGCCCAAAGCATATAACAAGCACATTTTCCTCTAATAATACTCCATTATAATGACTGAAAGCTTATTGAAGGAAAGCTTGATCTGTCATTGGCGTCATTAGCTGAAAATAAAAGCTTGAACTCTTCTTTTACACTTGCAATATAACAATGTAATTGAAACATGAAAACTAAAGGTGGCAATCAATGATCTGTGGTTGTTTCTCTATGGAGCATGTATTAAATGACAGAAAAAGATTGAAGCAATCTCAGGATGAAAGCGAATTTGGTAGATCTTTCCTACCAACACCCAATCAAATGTATATGGAGGAAAGGAATAATGGTTTGAAAATGAGTTATTAAGCAACACATCTATAGCAGCCAGCTGCTCTGCCATTACTGAAGCTTGCCTTGTGTTTGTTGAGGAGGGCCGCTGTATAACGATTTCAGCTGTCTACTTATCAGCTTGCTATGCTGGACAGCCATTTGCATTTCCAAGTCATCAGACCACCACTGCTCCAATCCATGTGCCTCAAGAAACTTTTGGTTGCCCTTTGACATCACAAAAAGTTTGGCAGCAAAATTTCCACTGCAAGGCCTGGTGTTTTCCTTTTCAGTCTGGCTGTTTTCTGCTCCATCTGGGTCAGTATAATAGCAACAAATGTAGTCACTGTTATTGACATACAAATGTGGCACCCATTGCTTCATTCCTGCGATTATCGAGGTTGCAGCTGGATCAGTGCTGCCTTGATTTTCACTGTTTAAAGGAAGCATCGACTTTACCCTCTTCCAAACAAATCCAGCTTTTTCCCCAATGTTTCTAAAGCTCATAGCTAATGAAACTGATGGTGGATTAAACAGATGAGCTTCCACGTATATTCCTTCTTTAGCTAATGCTTTTCCCACTTGAAGTGCAAAACCAGCACCTAAGGAATGACCTGCAATACATATGCTGCTACTTCCATATTTCTCAGCAACAGATTTTAATGCCTTCATAGCTCCATGGAATCTAACAGATCCTTTTAAACTTTCCCAAGCTAGGAAACGGAGATCGTCCTCAATATCCCGTCTAATTGTTGGACTTTTCAGAAGTGTTCCTCTCAGTGCTAGAACAGCTCTTGGAGCACCACTAGGTCTCATGAGTACAAAATCAGCCAAAGCAGCAGATCGATCCCATTCAAGTATTCCACCATATATGGATCCATCTCTTTCATCTACTAAGGTCTGGACCAGCTTGTACTTAAAGGGTATCCACCATTTTGGAGCAAGAGCATTTTCTGGGGTCCTCTTTTCCTGTCTATCAAGTTCAAGCAAGTACACAGCTTGTATAAAGCAGGCAATGACTGTTCTCTTGTAATTACCATCTTTCCTGCATATTCAATTTACTGAGAATGTCAAACGTGAATTTCTAGTTTTATGGCATTTACATTTTCCTATATGAAATGACAGTTAGATGCATAAACGGGCGATAAAATTATCTATCAACCATTCCAAGAAGGAATAGTGCATCCTATTAAAGAAAAAACATCACATTTTCTATTAAAAAATGAAAATCTGGAGGCCTTAGTCACCTTCCAGCTCAAAGATCTGAAGACTGCCCAAAGTTTGGTATCTATGGGGTAAACCTAATTGACAAGCGTCCCTTCAACTCACGGGTATCTCTTTATAAGGACAAGAGGCATGTCATAGTAATGTATCACGTTGTTAACTGACATACAAGAGAATTGGAAAAAATGCCATTGCTTAAGACATTCCAAACAGATGGTTTACTTCAGGAAACAAGTCCCCTATGATCAAGAGAACCCAAAGTCCAGTGACAATAAATTTCTTGGGAGAATAATTATGCTTACCACCTTAATTCTCACAAGCAACCTTTTCATTAAGGAAGCCAAGGAGACAAAGTTTAGAAAATTATTAAAAAAAAAAAAACAAATGCCTATCAAAGAACCATATCTCAAGTGTACCATTTGACAAACCAGATGTTGTCAAAGGAGTTTATGAACCTAGCTGAAATCTTTTTTCGTTTTTTCCTCTTTTGATCATAGTTGAAACGAAACTTATGGGTTTTGTGATACTAAGATTATACTACACACGTAATCAAGTTGAAGAGTCAGTATACAGAGTTTCAAGAAAGGAATAAACTAGCCATCACCAAAGAACTACAAATATTGTTTCCAAACATGTTGAACCAAAAATGTGGCCTTGAATATGTCGTATCCTCACTCTTTCGAACCTATATATGGGCCATTCAAATGCCAGTAACCACAGAGAATCAAATTGCCTGTAAATACAAAGAACTCAAAAGCCACAATTGTATATAATTCTCCTCATATTACCAAGTGTATGTTCGCGTCTTTGATAATGTACGTCCCACAATTCTAGCAGATCAGAATTACATAAATCAAAATCCTGCAGACTCTAGATCAAACCAAAACCAATCTCAACCAAAAAAAAGGACAAAATCTTCAGAAAGTAAGTGGTGACTGTAATAAATTTCACAAACCCACAAAGGAAAATGAAAGATCCGAGTAAATGTGCTGAAAAAGTTTTGAGGCACTAACCAACTGGAACTGATGAGGTCCCTCCAGTTTGGTGAAGAAACATTTCTAGGTCCAGAGACATGAAAAGCATAAGGATGATGACCCTCTTCTTTATTCTCCATCAAAACTACTTTCTCTCCTCCCTCACTACCACCACCACCTGTACTCTTCAAAATCTCGTCTTCCCCCAACTGTGCCATCACCAAAGTTCAAATCTTTATATATTCACTCCACAAAAACCCCACAGAAAAGAACAATTCCCACAAGCAGAACCCACTATTTTCTGCTTTTATTCTTATTCTTCTTGCTTTAACTTTTCTCTGAGTTTTTCTTTCTTTATCACCCCACCTAAGGATTTCTATCTATTTTTTCAGTGACCTCAGAAAAAACCCAGAAAAATAAAAAGTGAGAAAAGAGTGGGCAGAAGTGACGGGATGATAGGAAAGTTAGCTTTTTTGACAACGGGGAATTGGATTCTAAGGAATTAATGAGGATTTAAGATGCAGGTTAGTGTAGTAATGGCGTTGAGGAGTGATGATTAATTATGAGAGAGATATATGGGGAAAAAAAAGGTCAAAACAACGCCTGAGAAGAAAACGGAACTCCAACGGTCATATTCCTTTTGGGATGTTGCTGGCAATTGGCAAGTTGCATTGTGTCCACGCGGTCTTTTGGTTCGTATAGTATCCTAGTACATTTCCCATACGCAGGTGGCACCTGGGATTTACGTTGGATTTCTTAATGATTTATGCCTTCTCTTAAATTTTTTTTAAAAAAAAGGAAAAAAAACAAAGGAAATAGATTAGGAGCATATTTTTGGAGTTTTTTCCAAAAAAAAAAAAAAACATAGTACCATGTATTTGGAAAAACATAGCCCCTAGGAAAGGGAAGATGGATGAGAGGCTAATTTTTAAAAATATATTGACTGATCTCTATTATTATATGAATTGGGGATCGTTGTATTTGGTTTTTTATTAGAGTGGGATTTAGATTAAGATTTAAATTTTGTCCTATAATTTGTGTCTAGTTAATACGTAGTTTCAATAAAAATTCAAGCATATGCATAACTAATATTAAAATGCCATTCCAATTTTGACAACAAAAAAAAAACACAACCATTAACCATTAACAATTATCTAATTAATGGGAGTTGTTAAATGTGTTTTTTTTGAGGACATTCCATGGTGACTATTTTTCAATGTAATATGTACAATATTCTACTCAAATTCAAAATACGAAAAATAAAAAAAAGCATGACATTATAAGATAATCAAATGGTGAAGGAATCAAAATTTTTGAATTCATTTTCCCTTCTTTCTCTGTACTTTTTTAAATCACACCATGTCCCTACTAAAAAGGAAAAAAAAAAAGAGGCAAAAATGTCAATGTCTGAGTAGCATAAAATGTTTATCAAGCAATGTATGTCAACTAAATTTGCAAATTCAAGAAAATCTATGTTATGGGTGTCCTAAACATATTGCCGAAATAGTCCAAGAGAAAACGTGGACCCATCAGTAAAACTATCAACACGCTTTCGATATCACTTGTGTTCTGCTCTGTCCACCCCCAGATACCGGAAGAGTGGAAGCTAAGACCACCTGTGTCAACTGGGGCCCGAACGAAATATTTGTGGAGCAGCTATTTCCAACTGCATTTTAAATTGAGGCACCAAAAAATTAGCGAACTTTCTAAATTTCTTGAGAAAATTGAGGCAAAAACGATGGCAACTCAAATAACCTTCCAAAATCAACCTCAAGAAGAAGGCTTCCATTTCTTCCATGGCTTTAAACTTCAGCACTGTGCCTTTATACCAAAAACCCAATTCAATTATTGTTCCAAAATATAAGCCCTTTTTATGTTCATCTCCTTCACCTTCTTCTGCCATAGCTGCTGTATCTGAAAAAACAGGTGGTGGAGTTGCAGAGGAGGACCGTCCTGCTGTTTCTGGTACCCTCTGCTGTTCTTGAATATTTTTTCTTTACATTTCTTTCAACTAATCTAAATGAACTAGGAAATATGTCCATCTCATGACTGCAATTTTCTTGTTTCTTGGCAATTTTGTTGCCACTTTGAAGTAAGCCAGTTGTTATATTTTGTGTGTGTGTGTGTTTTTTTCATCTTTCTTTCTTTTTTTTTTTTAAGAAGCCTCTTCATTATTTTGACTGGGAAATGTTGCTTCCTGATTAACGAGCCTGAGCTGCTGCATATTCCAGTCCATTTTTGTTACACAAGAAAGCTCTAGTTTTTTGTTTAACTATTGATTGACATAGTTTAGCTGACTGATTACTTCCACTTTTCTCAAAGGGTCCTCTTCTACTCGGATGCAACTGGATCTCTTGGAGCAACTCACTGGTGGCTCACCAGTTGATGGTACTTCAACTCAAATTACAATCTCAACTCCAGAAACATGAACATAGATTATTGAACACTACTACATTACATTTTACATCTGTAACGACATTTACTGTAGGTTATGAGAGTGATGGGAGCTCCCCTGGACTAACAATTCGGGATCAGCTTGCTAATTTGGTTGGAGAGAGAGATGACGATTTTATCGTTCCACTTGGAAAAAATCTGAAAAAGGTTAGCCCAAAGTTCTTAACTATTTCACAGAAGAGGAACATCAAAAGACAGGCTTACCTGGATGAAGTATCTGAGAGGAATGATTCAGTTTTCTTTGCTACAATTGGAGCATTTGTAATCCTTCCACCTGTTATTATCTTAGGAATTGCTGTAGCAACTGGCTATGTCCAGCTTTTCCATGACATATAAATGTATGGTATGTTGAAAAATCACACTCTTCAACACTAGCATGATGAAGTAGGCAATGCTGCAAAATGTTCTGAAAGATCTGTTATAATTGGCATTCGCCAAAACAGTTGTGTCCTAATTCTAAACCTCTACAAGAATAGATGATTGTCTTTACACATGAATCTTTGGCATCTTACGTCTTCATGGCTCAATTGTCTACGTGTACTTAAATATATGGCTTATCCAGATTGTAATTGCAGATGAGTACAACATGAAAAGAATATTTGTGTTGTGGCACCAGTTTTTAGTCGTTGCAATATCTAAAACTGATTGGCACTTGGTTCGTCCTGATCTTTTTCCTTCCTTCCTCTGTTTCTTCCTTTGTAATTATAGTTTCCATAAAGGTCTGAACTTGGTAATTAGGGTGATAATGTACTGGTGCATATAAGTTCTCGTGTAAGATGCTTGTCTTGATTGTTAAGTTGTTTGCCAAAAGCATTGAATCGCATAGCTGCGATTACTTGGCATCTTACGTCAGTCTGCTGTGTAATCCACTGGTCATCTAAGATTGAATGTGCTATAGTAATCTAACTACACTCATATATCAAACTGTTCCTTGTTTTGCAACCGGAGTGTACATGTTTGTGGGAAATACTGATATTGGAAGTCTGGCCGCATAAAATGAGGGAGCAAATGACACCTTAGATGTATAAAGTGCAAACCAACGAATACTCCACTTTTCTAGTGGCGTCAAGCTATCACACTGGAGTTCAAAATGAAGAATGGTTAGAAAGAAATCCCATGTCAGTAGAAGTAAGCTTTTTCCTAGATTCTTCTGTCAACAAGGCTCTTCTGCTGTTTCCTTCTGCTTATATGTTGGTGAAATCTCTTGTTCGGTAGGTTGTACAGGCTCATTGCCTAAAATTACTCCCTGTTTCTGAATGTACTCCCATTTTTCTTGGAAAAGATAGAGTAAGGCGATAAGACAGATTTCCACTGTGAAAAGAATGGTCCAGATTCGTGCACTTCTTGAAGTTTTCTTACCATAAGCTTGTAAACCAGTGTATATATTGATGATTCCCAGCACAGAAACTGCAGTCCCTAGTAACCAGTGAACAAAAAACCATCCACTCCTTGCGTTGCTACCTCTGAAGAAAAACATGGTAAATGCACTCAGAAACTAAATGTCCCTAATCAATTGCATCTCTGAAAATTAAAAAAATATATAATTTCTATGGTGGACATATCACATGCTTTACCTATGTGGTCGTATTATACCAACCAACATTTGCAGCCAGACAAGACCGTAAAGTGCTAATCCCAACCTTTGATGATCATTGTTGAAAGCGTTCTCAAAGTTTATAAAGGACATTATTGCTCCAGCTGTCAAAAGGAGAACTGACAGTATCTGCAGAACAGAAATATTCTCTGTTAGATGATGATGAAGGATAGCTTGTAATTCATACCATTGTATGAATAATCTGGGTCTATTGATCTGAACAACATAAACATGCTAACGTTTTATGTTAATCAGGAAATTCCTGAACTTAGCGTATTAACTGTGTGCTATGTATGCGTGTGTATTACAGCTTATGCCAATTAAGAAACCTAAAAAGTTCTTTATGGCTTTTAAACAACAGAATTTTCATAATTGCCTTTTCTTCGTCTCCAAGTATCCATTATGAATAACAAAAAACATCTTTCCGGATTAAGAAATATGAACTAAGTAATTATTATCAACAGACGGTGGGTAAGATTAATTATTTGCAACATGGGAATCATTACTCCTTTTTCTTGAACCATCATGAACAGCTGAATGTGGAGACAATCAATCTGACCAAGAAAATTTTCTAGCAGACAATGTTTAACATGCTAATTATAGTTGTCATGCAATTATCTGGAGGATAGCAGTTAATATTGAAGTGAAGAATGGCAATCAAAGTTAACTGTAACTGAAAACAACAAATTTTGACTTGCCTGTAAAACACCATGAATGTAGAGTAAGATTTTTAGCCGTCTTCCACATTCCTCTCTGTTTGACTTCCTCATTACAAGTATTCCAACAGGCACCAAGAAACCCATGGAAGCCCATAACAGAAATCCGTGGATCGCAATCTCAGATGATAGTTTAGCAGTCATCTAATTGATAAGGAAAAGTTGTACTGTAAATTTCTTCAAAAAAAGGATTACTTTATACATGAATTCCTGATCGAAATGATCTAAATATTAATGAATCCAAAGCTAGAATTAGAACATCTGATATGCCATGCATGAAAATGAATTACCTGTGTTTTGTTTTTGCCGCTTGAATGAGTATTGCCTGTTTTTATATGGACGATAGACGAGCACACAACTAATGGAAGTTGAGTAAGAACAGCCAGGGGCAAGCTCCTCTGCTTGTAAAGCATGATCAAACTCTTCAAGGACCAATATTGCTTGTCTTGTGTTTTGAGGCTTCAAATTACCAGTAAAAGCTGCAATTTAATCTTGACTCTTGAATTATAGAGAGAGCAGCGGCCACAGAACTTGTTCTCTTATATACATATATTCTCCTACGCAGGCTCAACTACATTGCTTTTTCCACCACTGCAATGCCCATCGTTATGGTAACTAGTTTATTTGCTGTTGTATATAGAACATTAGAGGAAGTTGAGCATTAATCTTTTCGGAGGAGCATCTCCTCTTTCTGTCTAAAGAAGCTAAAGCTGGACCTCTGTGAATAAACTATTGTATGCACATTCCTTTTGAAATCCACCGGCAAGACTTTTTATAGCCAAAGAAGCAAGAAATGGTTGTTTGGACATTGGCTGTTGTTTCAACCTGGTGGGACCACTTTAACAGGCTTTTTCATTTGATGGGAAGAATATTTGATTACAAAGTAGAAGAATGTCAATGGTATATCAAAACTGAAAAGAAGATGACTCAGTGGTCGACAGAAAGTAATACAAAATATTATCCTTTACGAGTCCAACGTCCAGAGATCACTACAGAAGATGTTAAACTTTTGTCTTCCTTAATGCTCGAACAGACTGGGGATGTGTATACCATCCCTTTGTGGGATTTTAGCCTCTGCTGGAATGAACGCTACTTTTGACCAAATATATTCCAATTAGACAGACAACTTTTCTTGAAAATCAACGCATCTTCATAAACTTGCTCCCAGTTTCTGATTTGCATCCTATTTTATGTTCTTTTCTTGAAGTTCTGTTGTGGAAGTCGATAATGTGGAGAGGCTTTATGGCACAATCAGGCATAAATGTTGATGAAGTGCAGATTAGATTGTTTCTGCTGTACTTTAAATCAGTGGCATAATATGATTACTTCCGAGGCATCTCGCAGTTCAAAGACACCAGCAAATAAGCTAATCTAAAGTTCTGTACTTAAATCATTATAACCACCATAATGGATAATTGTAGAGGTATTTAAGTTAGATTTACAGCTCATAAAATAGGTAAGAAGTACCATTTTAGAATCATTATGTGGTTCTTACGACTTAGCATATCATGTATTCGTAATCAACTGATCAGGTTACTGAAATTGATTTGACACAGCACCCCCCATCTTGAAAAGGTACAGAGAGCATGAAGAGAATGGTTGAGCATGATAATTTAGCTCTTTGCAACTTTTTTCTTGGGGGGGACCTCCATTATCAAGCACTGGATTTGATTCTTGGATGCCATGATAACAATTTGGAGCCTACGTTGTTGATGTATCTGTTTGCCTTTATGTTTCACGTGGTCCAGATCCAACAATGCACTAATTGATCTTCCAATGCATGGTTTATACAATCCAACGACGTACCTGAGGAGTGAATTGTCTCCATCGAAGCGATTCAGCAGCATTACAGGGAGGAACCAGTTTCCTTGAATGTCTTATATTAGAAAATGTGCAACAATTTTGAAATTTACCCTTCAGTTCCTCCATAGCAACGAGCTCGTGATGGTTGGTGAAGACTGAAAAGAATGATGAGACCAGAAAATTAGCAGTGGTAATAATAACAGTAACAACAAATAATGATCGTAATAGCTAATCATGATGACAGAAACAGGACCATGCATGAACAAACCCTGGTATGCTCTTGTTAACTGTCAATTGATTGATGTTTTCTCGTATGCATGGTGAGTATACACATCAATTATTCAAATAAGCCTTTTCCTTTTTACTTTGTTTATGCCTTTTTCAAAAAAGTTTCTGGTGCCCAAAGCTGATTAGCATTGTTCATATTCTCTTTTTCTACCACCCGGCACATTCCTCTCCAGACGACTCATATTTGATGTAAATTAAACCACATCAAACTAGCTTTCTTACTGTGACTGCACGTATTTGAACCAACTATCGGATTACAACTACAAAATCAAGATGCAAAAATGTGGTAATATGCAGGAAGAGGAGTGTGATCTTGACCAAATTGGAGGAACATGCGAAGCAACTTTAGTAATAAGCCAGCGGCGCATGGTTTAGAGTTTTAGACCGCACACATGAACTAATAATTTCATCTTTTGCAAGAAGTGGATGGATCTGTTAAAATTCGATCCCACCACTACTTTCTTTGGTGAAAAAACTTAATTAATAATAAAATTTCTTCCACTGGAATTATGAAAACTTAGGTCCCATTTCGATTGCTATTTTTTAGAGATTTTATCAAAAAAAAATTTTATTATACTGATTTGATATATATGAAGTAAATGACGAATGAAAAGCGTATTCGCAAAAAAATTAAAAATTTTTCTACAAAAAACTGCAATCCAAACATCAACTTAACGAAGAATTAGGACCCACGTGTTTAGCTAACTTTTTTTTTTCTCCTTTTATATGTATTAAAAAATGTTTTCAGATAAATCTTAAGAGGAACAGCAATTCCAGACCAAAAATAATACCTTCTTTTTTTTTTAATAAAAATAACGCCTTCAAACATGGAAATTTTTTTGTTGAATTTTATAAATCAGTTATTGATATATTATTTAAAAAATTATGTTTAATCACTTTTTACTTTTAAGTACTTTTTTTTATTTTACATATATCGTACGAACAAAAAATTTAAAAAAAAATGCACCCATGGCCATTACCAATTGGTCCAATTCAAGGGGAACTTCGGCTCAATGAATTTTATAATCATGCAGTCATTCTTTCTTTTTCCTTCCTGGAGGACAAAATTAAGACAAAATTTTACTCCCCGACCCGTAGTTTTTACTATATTCTTTTAGAACCCCCGATTTTTCTTGAACTTTCTTTTCCTGTTTTTTTTTCCTTCTCTTTCCTACAGCACTCTCCAGTCTATCAAATTTCTCAGCGATCACGTCTACTAAATTTCCGACCTTGACTGATCGCCGGCCACTGGTAACCACCGCAATCATGGCCGCAGTCTCAGTGGCGGCGGAATGGCAGCTCCTCTACAACCGCTACTACCGGAAACCCGAACTGTACCAAATGCAATGGAAGCATGTGGACCTCACGCGGAACAAGGTCGCCTGCGCACCCTTCGGCGGTCCTATCGCAGCTATCCGCGATGACGCCAAAATCGTCCAGCTCTACTCCGAATCGGCCCTCCGGAAACTCCGTATCTTCAACTCTGCCGGCGTCCAGATCTCCGAAACTGTCTGGAGAAACGCTGGCGGACGGTTAATTGGCATGGCGTGGTCCGACGACTTAAAATTAATTTGCATAACCCAAGATGGCACCGTTTATTGCTACTCCTTCCACGCTGAGCTCATCAAGACCCTATCCCTTGGTCAAGACGGATTAAAACACAGCATTGTGGAGTGCGTTTTCTGGGGAAACGGCGTCGTATGCATCAATGAAGCCGTCGAGCTCTACTGCATACCCGATTTTAATAATCCGTGCCCGATAAGGCTGGCGGATACGGGTTTGGAAGATATGCCGTTGTGTATGGCCGTGATCGAGCCACAATATACGATGTCGGGAAATGTGGAGGTTTTGTTAGGGGTTTCGGATTCTGTGATGGTTGTAGAGGAAGATGGGGTGCAGCAGACTGGCGCCGAAATTGGGCCAATTCAGAAAATGGTGGTTTCCAGAAATGGAAAGCTTATAGCTTCCTTCACTCATGATGGAAGGCTTCTTGTACTCTCCTCGGATTTTTCCAACATTATTTTCGAGTACACTTGTGAGGTAAGGCTGTCTAGCCTGCTGCTTACATGATTATTTGTTTTTTTTTTCGCTGTATTGCCAATTAAACGTTCGATCGGAAAAATGTTGAATTGGAAATATTTTTTGTTATTTGTAGTCAGCATTGCCTCCTGAGCAGTTAGCTTGGTGTGGAATGGATAGCGTGTTGCTTTACTGGGATGATATGCTTTTGATGGTTGGTCCTTATGGAGATCCAGTTCGCTACCTTTATGATGAACCGATTGTGCTTATTCCGGAATGTGATGGTGTGAGGATACTTTCGAATACTAATATGGAGTTCCTGCAACGTGTTCCGGATTCTACTGTATCCATTTTTCAAATCGGTAGTACACAGCCTGCTGCTTTACTATATGATGCCTTGGATCACTTTGACCGCCGAAGTGCTAAGGTGAGCCAACATGGGTCTCCTTTGTCAGAGTTTCTCAACGTGTGTTCATGTGTTCTAGATATATAAGGCTGAAAAGATTTTACAGTAGTAGGTTTGTCTTAAGGATCTGTTTGCTGTTAGGTAAACAGGGAAATATGTGAGGAACGTAGCTGGATCACTTTTCCTGTTTGTATATCTAATTTTGAGTATCATACGCATCATTGAAGAAAGAAAATGTTCTAATGGAGTTTTTTCAACCCTTTTGTTTATATGCATGGTTTTGGTGATTAGACTGTAATTTGATCCTCCTTCATCTGGGAAGTTATCCGGCTATATGGTGTTTTCCTAAAAGCCGCTTCAAGAATAATATTATGTTTTGTGAAATCATTTTCTGCAAAGGCACCTATTGCTAAGTGGCTTAAACTGCTTACTAATCGAGAATTGATCATTAAATGGCAACTATCCTACCGCTGATTAGCAAGACGTCTGCTTTTGAGGGTAAAGAAGAAACGAGGCTACTTTGGTACCCTGCTTCAGTTGTTTCATAGTTTCCTGCTGGTCTCCTCTTCTCATTTCTCTGCCTTTGCTTACTTTCACTATAGTTAGCAATTTTCGGATGATGTTCTTTTAGTAAGTAGAGCCTAGACACACCGCAAATGCTCCATAAATTGGAAATGTATTGTTACGGCAGTAGAAGACTAGAAGTCGATCTGTATTTGTGTTCTATACTTGGATAGAATATTTTCATTATACACGTGTCTTAGAGTGCTGTTGCTTCTTTGTAAATGCCTTGTTAGTTTATTAACAATTTTCAGAGACTTGTACAGCTAAATGTCTTCTCTTCATGAATACACACAGTATTTTCCATGTCCTTGCGTCATGAGAGCGTTGTTTTCTCAGTTTTGTGCTAAATCTTCGAGCAATATGTGTTCATCAGATGTTCCAGTGCAAGAATGGAATACTATGGTATTGTAACAGTATAATTTTGTTATATATACAAAGAAATCTCAACAATGAAATTTTCTTCCAGGCAGATGAAAATTTGAGACTTATTCGCTCTTCGTTGCCTGGGGCTGTTGAAGCTTGTATAGATGCTGCAAGTCATGAATTTGATATTTCACAACAACGAGCGTTACTCAGATCTGCAAGCTATGGCCAAGCCTTTTGCAGGTCAGTGGTTATAATCTTATTGCAGTATGTGAACATCTAATGTCATCTATGATGAGAAAATTGGGTTTAGGCTTGAGAGTGTCGTCTTTAATTTAATGCCTCACATGGATGAGCTATTCAAATTATCTTCTTTCTATTTGTCTTATGCATGAAAACTGTATGTACTTCAACACAATCAATTATATAAGCTAGTGGGAAAGACACAAACCAATATGTGCATACTAAAAGAAAAATGTATTAGAAATTAGCAAGGTGTGGAAGTTATTGGAAGTTACCATAAGTTCATGGTTTTCTGTTGGTCTTTTTGTTGTAAATAACAATCAATGATGTATAAATGGAAATCTGAAAAGTGACATAAATGATAACACCAAGCCCTCATGCCTTTGCTGTATCTATGGTATATATGGATGATTAAGCGTCAGGCTGTGGGTAATGTTTTGTGTCTTACCCTTAAAATTTTCAATACTAGCAGATGACATCTCTTCTTAATTAAGACTCTTTAAGTTTTTCTTTGATTGTTTACTCAGGTGCTCTTCTTTGTTTTTCTACACCCCAGTCAAATATTAAAAAATTTGCATATTGTTAAGGTGTTCTATATTATTGACTGAGAAAAACCAAAGTTTCTATGTCCACGTTTGAATACTTTATGTTGCTTCACATCATATGGTTCATGCATTTTTTAAATCTAATACCTAGACTTACACCCCTTCATTACAGTCCCTTTTACATGGAAAGGGAGATAAAAAATTGGATTGTTTAATGCCTTGAAACAAGAAATATTGGATTATTCCATTCAGTTTCACTAGATATGCAAACAGTGTAAAAATAGATAGAGGCTATGATGACATGCAACAAGTGTATACAAAACTTGCTGCTACTTTGCTTGATATTTTCCAACCTGACGTTTCTCATTCTGAGATTGAAATTAATAAATAAATGCATTTATATTCATATATGGTACTCAGCAAGCTAGAGAAATGAAGGATAAAATGGAGTTGTTTCTTTCTTTCACCCGTGCCACAAAACTTTCAGTTGGATCTCTTTTCCATGCTGCTGGAAGAAAATTGTTTTTCTGATTCTTGTCTTGATAATGATAACCAGTTGGCTTTGGCAGCCAATTTCAGCGCAATCGCATCCGTGATACGTCTAGAACTTTACGAGTTCTGAATGCTGTACGCCACCCTGATGTCGGGATTCCACTCAGTATTCAACAGTATAAGGTCCTTCTTGCTTCACATGTTAATTTTTTTTGGAATTTTTAACTATTTTCTATAATTATTGAAGGCTATCAAGTTGTCTTTCTCTGTCTCCTATCAGTTGCTTACACCATCAGTTCTGATTGGACGCCTGATTAATGCTCATCAGCACCTTATAGCTTTGCGGATATCAGAATATTTAGGGATGAATCAAGTAAGTTATGTTTCTGTTATCAGTATATTGCATTTGACTTTTTCCTGTAAGCTGAAAAGGGCGAATCTATTGGTAAACTTATTTCATCCAAGCCAAGTCTGTGTTCTGTATGTGACGACAGTATATAACTATACCATTTTTTTGTTCTTTTCACATGTTAGTAATCTATTGTGTGTTTATTCTCTTTTATTTTTTGAACTCAATGATATCTTTTCATTCTTTCATTTGCATCATGTGCAGGAATTAATAGGAGCCTGTAGGGTATATTCTTCTGCGGTTTATTGGATTTTCAGTGCACTAACTTTTCTTTGTTAAGAGCCCATTCAATGTCATGATTCATTTTGTAGGTTAATAGTACTTTGTCACTGTTTGGCCTCAAAGTCTTCCGATCTGATTTGTGTTGAGGGTGGATGTTTTGTTGGGTTTAAGATAGTGAAGTTGTACTTGGTGTGATACGTTTCACCCTTCCTATTACCCTCAACACTTCATTTTTTGAATCTTTCTTCTCATATTCATTATTTGATCTTGATTATGTGATGAAAATAGTTTTTGCAAGCTTGCAGAAATGGCTTTAGATAGAATGATCACAAACAAGAAAGGATAGATAGAATGGTCTACTTCAACTATCTGTTTGTGCTAAATTATAAAACTACAACTGCTCCAAATCCACTTTTATTTTAATTCTTTATATGGGTTATTTTTCTTTTCACGTAGCATATGATTCCATACTAGGCTTTGTCCTGCTTACTCTTTTGGGTTTTTCTGCAGGAAGTCGTCATCATGCATTGGGCGTGTAACAAAATAACTTCTTCATTGGCAATCCCCGATGCTGATCTCCTTCAAATCTTGCTCGATAAGGTCTTTGTTCAGATTTAGTAATTTCTACAATCTTTTCTGCTCATAATGTGTGGCTTAATCAATTGTTTGGCAATTGCAGTTGAAGTTATGCAAAGGTATATCTTATGCGGCAGTTGCTGCCCATGCTGATAAGAGTGGCCGCAGGAAATTAGCCGCCATGCTAGTTGAACACGAACCTTGTTCCTCCAAGCAGGTTCCTTTGTATTTTCCTTGTATAGTTCTTTTGTGAAGTATGCTTGCTATTTTTTTTTTTTTACCATGTTGGTATCTTCAATGTGCCTTGCGGTTTCTAGATGACTGCTGTGCTTTTTCTTCTGTATGATGCTTGGTTAGGTTCCTCTCTTGCTTAGGATCGGAGAAGAAGTTACTGCTCTAGCCAAGGCAACTGAAAGTGGAGATACTGATCTTGTTTATCTTGTCCTGTTTCATATCTGGCAGAAGGTGCTTGATTACTTTAAGAGTAGTATTTTATCCCTCAATAAATGTTTATTTTATTATTGAGGAGTACTAACTTGTCAAACAAAGAATATCCATCAGGTGATGACATTTTGTTTGTCCTTTTACTGCTAATGTTCCAGGGACCAACTATGGAGTTTCATAGAACAATACATGCCAGGTCACTGGCACGTGATTTATTCATATGCTATGCAAGGTATGTGTGTTCAGTGGGTTTAGTTTTGTTTTGTCCTCTTTCTGCTGCTTCAAATTTATAGTTGACATAATACATGAAATTCTTTTCTTTTCTATGGTGTCAAAGTTGTAGTAATACTGGCATCTTTTTGTTCTTCAGGTGCTATAAGCATGAATTCCTGAAGAATTTTTTCATAACTACTGGAGAAATTCAGGTTAGTTTAGATTAGCTTACTATCAAGGGTTAGTTTTCATTCTTTTCGGAATTAAAATAATATGTGTTTGGATAGGAGTGTATTTGAAGTCTTATTTGGAATAATTACTGTAGCACTTTTTGTGATGTAATGCATGTGAGATGAAAAGGTGGTTGGGAAGATAAAAGGTTGTCTTGGAAAACGTGTTTGTGATGCAGGCAAATAATTTTTGTGCAAATGTTACCTATAATGTAAGAAATAATTCTATAGCGTTGTTGTATGTTATGTCAACTGGGTTCAGTTGAGAGCTGTCACCAATCGTGACTCTTCCTGTTTAATGATGCTTGAACTCATGGTTGGATTATAAATAAAATTTTGTTTGTCAACCACTGGCTGACATTTCGTTTGTATCTCCAATATTTAGTGAGAGAGAAACTATTTTAGTAACTTAGCAGCTGCAATTCCATGGAGGCTGTTATGATGTGTGGGAAATTTTGTATCAAAACACGAATTACATGAGATTTTTCATTGTTGGGGTGCAATATAAAATTGATTTAAATTGTTGAAGCATCCAGCTTTTACTGCTTGTTGTCGATGTATACATGATAGTTTTCTGCGTTTTGTTGCCTCAGTAATTGAGGTTATATTCCTTCCTTCAAAGGTGATACAACAGTTCAAGGTTATATCATTTTTCTAGGATGCGGCTTTTCTAATGTGGAAAGAGTCATGGGAATTGGCAAAGAACCCAATGGCAAGCAGGGGATCTCCCCTTCAGGGTCCTCGGATAAAGCTCATTGAGAATGTGCAGAAACTTTTCTCTGAAACCAGGGAACATGTTTTTGAGTCAAAGGCAGCTGAAGAGCATGCAAAGTTGTTGAGGTGACATTTCATCCAGCACATTAGAATATGATCATTTTTTGACTTCCTCTGCCAAACTCTTGTTAATCGATATGAAGCTTCAAGTTTGAGGTTATTGCCACATTGTGCTGTTAGTTGCTTTATTATGAGAGTGACACCAGAGATGATGCTTGCATTGCATACGTCAATTAGCATATTAGCTTTAGATAAAAACTTCTTTTGCTACTGTTAGACACACGTGACATTTTGTACTAGGAGGCTACCAAACAAAGTCCTCTTGTCCTGTGGACCATAAAGCTGTATATTTTTTCATTTGATTTGAAAAATATATTTTGATTTCTTCTGCTCTTTGGCTGGTAATGCTCAATGTGTATTAACTGCAGGATGCAACAAGAGTTGGAGGTCACCACAAAGCAGCCTATTTTTGTGGATTCAAGCATCAGTGATACAATTCGAACATGTATTGTACTGGGAAATCATCGGGCTGCTCTGAAAGTTAAAACAGAATTTAAGGTCTGAAAATGTTTGTATTTTCATTTCCTTCTATTAATTGGATAAGATTACACATGAAGGAAGATGTTGGGATGATACATCTCTTCCTTTTTCATGGACTGCCATGTTAGTTATCATGCACTTTCTCAATCTGGACATTGTGATTATGAAACCTGTGTAAAATGATTTAGGTTTCGGAGAAGCGTTGGTATTGGCTTAAAGTATTTGCTTTGGCAACAATCAGGGATTGGGATGCTCTGGAGAAATTCTCAAAGGAGAAAAGACCACCCATTGGTAAGCTGAAAACGTGTGTCCAGAAGCATTTACAATACCTTTTTTGACTTTGTTTGTCTTGAAGTATATGCGGTGGCATATGATATTCCTTTAATTTGATGAACTCCCTCATCCCCTCCATTTCCTTCCATTTGTAGGCTATCGACCATTTGTGGAGGCATGTATTGATGCTGATGAGAAAGGTGAAGCTCTTAAATACATACCAAAGCTGTCTGATCCTAGGGAGAGAGCTGAGGTAAGCATGGCTGGGATTTATATTCAGTGTGACTGCATGATGTGTCCATTACATATGTTTTTCCTTATAGTATACATTTTATTTTCTTTTTTAGTTGCCCTATCAAATGTGGAAATGGTATACCATTTACTATAGAGTCAAATCACCGTTTAATGTTAGTAGCTGGTTTGAAAAATGATTTCAAACAAAGAAGAAAAGACAGATACTCATAAGGGGAGGCATTTGTTTTGTTTTGCCATTATGCATCGTTTTCAACAATTAATAAAAAATTTTGACATCCATGAGCAGGCTTATGCTCGAATTGGAATGGCAAAGGAAGCTGCTGATGCTGCATCTCAGGCTAAGGATAATGAATTACTAGGTCGATTGAAATTGACCTTCTCGCAGAATGCAGCAGCTTCATCAATATTTGATACCCTTCGAGATCGGTTGTCCTTCCAGGGGGTTTCTTAGTTTTGCTCTTTCGGCTCTGGCATTTCACCTCTTCGTTGATTTTGGAAGTATGGAGCTGAGTGATGGCGTTTGTTAATATGTTGATATCATGGTTAATGTTATGAAGCTTCCAGAGCGAGCATGTGACAGGCTGCTTGCTTGTTCTGGTGACCACCCTGTCAAAGAGCCTGATTACTGCCCTTGTATCTTCTTCTTTTAAGCTATTGCAGTCTATGAAAGAACACGTACAAACCAATTGGTTTAGCTTCACTGTGGGCAGCGGGCAGCTCGCTTTGATGCATAGTTTTTGCCAATGTAATGTTAACATCAGTTTGTAAACAAAACACAACATGAACGGTATAATATGGCTTGCAACCGCTCAGTGTGGCTTTTAGTTATTTATATACGTGTTATTGCAAGCCTTCTGTTATTTTGCAATTTATTCATCCGTTCTGTAATCTACTCATTCGTTTACTTCATCTGCTAATCAGAAATGAGCAGCTTATGATGCCAACGCTCTCTGTGGTATAAACTTTCAAATTGCTACTTCATCCTCCCCCGTTTTCCCATAGCATTTAATATGCAATCGTAAAGATGCAACGAAGAGCACTTCTCTATACGAAATTGTAAAGATGCGAGTCATTACGACGTCCCGGGAGGATCCGTTTCTACTGTCTTGAGACCCGGTTCAAGGCTCAGCTGACCTCACTAGAAAAAGGTTGGAATAAGCCTTTTCAATGACTTGATATTGTTGCTAATCAACCCTATAAACTGATAAAATCTGGTGCTCCGTCATGGAAGAGGATGAGTTTTGTGTCTGATACAATCTGGTGCTCATTTATGTAAGAGAATGCAATTTTTGTCTCATGTTATTGCAGTGGTTTAAACGAATACATTTTTTGAGCTAGAAACCCTGGAAGAGCAAGGCAAAATACCAGCGCTCATAAATGTGTGGAAACAGGGAAAAGTATGTTATGTGGCTCGGACGGTCGAGAGGCTATTTCAGATGGTAGCCAAAAAAACTTTGGTTCATCGCTCACTTTGGAACTGCATAAACTGAATTCTCGTATTTTCCTTCCCACCTGTGAATCAGATTAAAATGCAACGATGAAAATAATAACAGAAACTAGCGGAACCAAGTTATTAGCTGTTCAGGGTCGAAGGCATGCAAAACAAAACCTGCAATCTTCTCTTTCTGGAATCTTGAGCTCCAAATCTTCTTCAAATGGTTGGAATACAACATTGACTCTCTCATCACCCACTCTATCAAAAGTTGAAGGATCCCACTGTTATTTAAGGAAGGCATGGCAGCAATATCTTGGTCAGCATTCTCATTTTGATACAGCAAGAGTTCTTGTAACACAGACGGCACAGAGGGAGGGAAAAAGGATAAAAGATGGTTGCATTGGAACATTCAAGAATGTTTGTGTGTGTGTGTGTGTGAGAGAGAGAGAGAGAGGGAACATACTTTTGGAGAGTTATCCTTGTCAATTGTAAGAGCTCTGATACCCTTTAGAAGAAACGAGAGTAGACTTCAGAGGTAGAAAGCAACACATCACTTTCTGTTGTTGCACTATAAAACTGAAGTAGCAAGATATTACCTCATAAACATCACCGGATATTGCCGTACGAAGAATGTTCATAGTGAGACGAAACTCTTTTTTCAGGCATTCAGGCAGTGACTGTTTCCTTCCTTCTCGGATCTAGAAATTGTTTAGTACCGATTTTAGAGCAGAGAGGATACAGCAAAGTTGAGAAATTGCAATATGAAAACTATCAAATAGTAGAAGCTTCAGACAAAGCTGTACAACTTATAACTCAAGCAGCAAAACGTTATTCACGAGTTCAATTTCTGGTGTTGAATATGGAGAATTCCACGAAATCTTATAAGAACTGAACTAAGAACTTTGAAAGTTACACAAGCCATATGAAGTCTCGCACTGACATGATAATAATCATGTTTTTATTTTGCAACAAGTGTATTCAAGCTTCAAAGATGACTTTGAAAAAGACAAAATCCATCACTGCTACACGGGGATATAAATGTCAAATATTCAAACACATTTTTGTGAAAAATGTACTCCGTTATATTCTCTGAAACAAAACCTGTTTTCTTAACTTCTAAATTACATACGCTCAGTAGGATAACTAGAGTTAAAATTTCAATCTTTCACAAACATTAAAAACTGAAAAGAAATTTACTTTTAGACAGTTGATTTAGCAAGCAGGGAAATGCAAAGAGAAGAATGAGATGCAACTCCCACTGCAATGACCATCCCACATCAAGCACACACAAAAAGATCAAAACAGATAAGAGAAAGAAATCAAGCATGAAGAGAAATGGATGTATAAAGAGAATGAGAAAGGATCACTCAAACTCTCACCAAGAAAAACTGCTGTTCAAATTTTTGATACTTCTAAGTATGTTATATATTTGTACAACTATCCACCAGTTCAGATTAATATCAACTGCTGAAAGAGGAGGTTCTAGGGAATTCCATTACCGATCTCAATGTTATCTTTAATCCTGTCGGAGATGATCTCTTTAATCCTTTAAGCACTGGAACAATCCAACCATTTCCTTCTTTGGTAGCCTCAGCTTCCTGAGATTGACTATGCACATTAGGTCCTGTAATTTTATAACACGCAAGACTTTTTTGAATCATGAATATTATCTCTTACAAGGGATTTTATGATCTCCTCCACAGAATCCTTAGAAAAACAATCATCTATCATTTTTTGTCTGCAAGTAAACCAAACAAGATTAATCCTGTGAACATTTCTGAAATAGTAATGCAGTAAACTGAGATGACTTACTTCTTCAAGACACTTTCTTCATCAATCTGAACATCAGAGGAAAATTCTTCAATGGTAGATTTGACAGCAGTCTCTGCACCATTATTTAAGCTCACCAGGCGTTTCTCCAGTTCAGGCAGTTTCTGGATGCAGAACATGGCTTAAACGTAGTCAACATTTGATATTCTAACTTACTGGACAAATCTGATGCAACTAACAATGTGTCTTATCCATTTGAGGGATTCTAACAGATGATGGATAAGGATTTGATAAGCAATAGAGCCAATCTGGTATTTAGCAAAGAATGTCTATTGTCTAAGACAATAATAATCTTTAGTTAATAGTGTCTTCCTTTTTTTTTGGATTAATAATGTCACGTATTGGATAAGACACTAAGATGGACTGACAACAGTTCCTCTTTCCCTTGACTTCCTGACCATGGATCCTCTCTCCCTCAACTTCTTTTACCTCTCCCCCTCCAAACAACTGAGGGGATATATCCCATTTTCCTAATCAACCCCCCGCTTAGTCGCTATATGAGCCCTTAAATTACTATTATGGAGCACTCAAGGAACTAAAAGGTGTGTTGTCATGAGGAAGCTTGTTGCTTTTACAATCAGAAAAAAGATTTCCCAGGAACATGCTCCTTCAACTACTCAATCTGACACAGGACTAAAGTACCTAAAACAACTTTAAAATTTGCAATGTACCTCGGAGGGGACAAAATGCGTAGCCAATCCAGCGGCAACCAACTCTTTACCACTCAGCCTTGCCCCTGTTAGGGCCAAGTATTCCCCTGCATATGAAGTTCCACTTAGAAAGTTGAAGTTGACCTTATTGTTCTTACGACACATGCAGAAGGAAAAACACTTCAACTATTGGATACATAATGTGTAATGAAAATCTGGTCTAGTTGAACCTTACCTAGATGCCCAGGGAGACGTGAAAGCATGTACGAAAACCCACAATCAGTGTGAAACCCAATACTTGCTTCTGGAGTGGCAAAAACCTGTAATAAACATGCTCAAAACTCATCATGGAAAGAAAGGAGAATGAAATAGAGAGAAGAAATAGAGCTTCCTACAGCCAAATGATCAGGAAAGTATCTATGAATCACATTTGATACTAACAGCTTTTTCTGTGACTACAGAAAACTTCAACGGGACCATCAAAGATGCACCTCCCCCCATGGAAATTCCTTGAACAAGAGCAACCTGCCAAAAATATCCACAAGCAGGATTGGAAATGCCAAAATGTGGGCTTCACAAATTCTTCCAGAACAATAACTTCTTGCCAACAAATGCTCCATGAAATTAAAGCAACCTGTGTTTTCTTATAAGTGTGAATGTGGTAGCAAAGCCAATACATCCTGTAGACCACTTCAAGACACGAATCCCCTGACAATTGACAAAGAGAAATACTGATGCATAAGTTAACTTGAAAGTGAAAATACAATCTTGCAAGCATTACAGTATCAGCAGAAAATGATTACTCGAGGTCCTGCCATCATAAAACATTCTCAAATCCCCACCAGCAGAAAAGGCACGGCCAGCACCCTGTGTACACAAGCAGTTTTATACAGTTTCTTTTCAGCAAAACTCCTTAACTTGAAGTCTTTCAGTCCTATATTTAATTTATCAAATTCTCCTTGAGGCAACATTTTGCTAAATAGACTATGATTGTAGAGAGTCAACATTTTGAAAGATAATACTTGCCTTAATCAGTATGAGTTCTGCATTGTCATCTTTTTCCCACTTTTCCAAGTACTGAGCAAGTAAAGACACCTAAAGCAAGAGAATTTGAATGACCCTCGAGTAGAAAAGGCAACGTAACAATTCAGAAATCATGCTACTAGCAATCAAGAAGCATCCAACTTACCACCCTCGATGAAATCACATTCAATTGGCGAGGCCTGTTCAAGGTAATCAATCTCACGTGGCTCATTTCTTCAGCAAGAACGACCTGATCATTATTGATAAAATCATATTGCTAATTAAAATTCTCCGTTACAGACTTAAATATGGAGGGAAGTAAAAAAATAAACTACCTCTTCATCTTGCCTGTTTACTTGTTGAGCCATCTAAATTATCCCTCAGCTAAGCCTCTCAAAGCAAGAAGAGCTACAATTGCAATAAAGAGTCAAAAAGGAAACATTTAGGAAAAAGGGAGCATAAACCATGAAGAAACTTAAACAAAATATCAAACATATTATCCGAAACAGATCAAATTTATACTGCAGCCCAAACAAAACAAGGACAAGAAAAGTAGAAAGAAGGCATTGTAGCTTCAAAGTTAATCATCCAACAACAGCAAATAAATTCAAGAACACTAATTCTCTTAGATTCTGCGCAATTCATAATAAAAACCATTTCTTGAAATAATCAGAATCATTTAGCTTACCTTTAGTAGCCTGTGGAGATTAAGGCTCTGTTCTGTTCTACAATTTCGAGAAGCGAAGCAGACTGCAGAACCCGGATTTTAAAATGGTGAAGATTAATGTAGGCCTTGATTTTTAGCTAGCTCGGTTGGTTGGTAGCTACCCAACTATTCTCATCAGTGTCAATTTTATGTGTACCTATTGTGGGATCTTTCTTCCCCTTTTTCAACAGCTAAGTTTCTTTTCCTTCTGCTGCACCTACCACGTTTCCCCCACTTCCATCCATCCATCCA